TAGTAAATGGATCATAGTTTTATATATCTATTTCTCATGTTAAATCTGTCTATTGCAACAGACTTAAAAGATTTGAACCTTTAGAGGAAAAAATTAAACTTCCCTACATGTCTCTGTCCAGTTCCATCCAAACAGCTGATACAATTGGTCCTAAGGTGTTAAGGGCTGAAAATGCCTCTATGCAGGAATCATTGGGAACCATTTACTTTTTAGATGGCAATCATGACTAAGGGTTAGTATGGCTTATCAAGGGGACCCTCCTCCGTAACCCACATGTCTGACTTCCTGTCTGGCTTTAGTGTCAGCAGCTGGCCACACTGATCTTGTGCTGGACATGCTGTGAATGTGACTGCCCTCAGCTCAGCCACCCATTCCAAGGAACTTGGCTGTGCCTAGTACTTCTTTTTTTTTTTTTAGAGAGAGAGAGAGAGAATTTTTAATATTTATTTTTTAGTTCTCAGCGGACACAACATGGTTGAAAGTATGTGGTGCTGAGGATGGAACCCGGGCCGCACGCATGGCAGGGGAGCGCGCTACCGCTTGAGCCACATCCCCAGCCCCTGTACCTAGTACTTCTAAAGGGCAACTAGGATACAGGCTTTGGTCTTCAAGATGACAAAGAGATCTTTGGGGGAAGACAAGAAGAGTTGTCACAGAGCAGATACTTGCCTTGGGACTTTTGAACTGTGGACCTCAGTGCAGAGGAGAGACCATAACAGTTTCTCTGACACATAGGCCTTTATTCATGCTTTTCCCTGGGCCTGGAAGGGCAGCCTCTTCCTCACCAGGCCTGATTCTCTCCTACCTGTAACTCAGGTTCCAATGAAATTTTGTTCTCTCCAAACCCCCTCCTCTAAACTTCCCAACCTGGATTAGGACCCTTCCTTTGTGCTTCATCGCCTCCCATACCTCCCTTTACCAAAGTTTCAGTTTCCTCATCCGGAGACTGTTTTCTTATCTGTAAAATAAAAATAGTATCCACCTCATTGGATAAAAGGAGACAAAAGGATTAAAAAGAGACAAAACTCAGAGTTGGAAAAATGATTGTTTTTGCTGTTGCTGTGGGGTTTATCCCACAGGATTTTATATATATATACACACACACACACACACATACATACATATACATACATACATATATGTGTGTGTGTATATATATATATATTTTTTTTTTTTATATATATTTTTTTTTTAAGTTGCTGATAGACCTTTATTTACTTATACATGGTGCTGAGAATTGAACCCAGTGTCTCTCACATGCCAGGCAAGTGCGTTACCACTGAGCCCCAGCCCCAGCCCCCATAGGATTATAATTATAATTTATCTCTGTCTGTTTGACCATAGCACTTTTACGTCAATCTCTTTTATTGTATCCTAAGACCCAGGCCAGATGCTTGGAACATAGTAGATGCCCATTCATTAATTTACTGAATCATTTGTTCATTATTTGAACACATATTTTTTTTTTTTTAATGGTGCTGGGGATTGAACCCAGGGCTTTGTGCATGTGAGGCAAACCCTCTACCAACTAAGCTATATCCTCAGCCCTTGGACAAATAATTGTTGATAAATCATTCAATATATGCCAGACATTGTTGCAGATGTTGGTAAGTGCTCAGGAACAATTTGTTGAAAGAATGACAGAGGAAACTGAAAGACTCTTAGTAAGATCAACCCTCTATTTTTGTGGAGTGGTAAGATTCAGAATCTCTATTTCCCAATGTTAAGTATTCATTGGGTGGGCATTTTTACCCTCCTTCCTTCCCCACTTCCTTCCCCAAGATACCTAAAGCCAACAGAATGGGGGTGGGGGTCTTGGAGCATGTGCACAGTGATCTAGCCATACCACTTCCTAGCTCTGTCCTCCTGGGAACATTACTAAACTTCCTTCAGCTTCATTTTTCTCATTTGTGACACGAGGAACATGGGGAATGTCCATAAAAGGGCACAGAGTTAGAAATTAAAATTAATAAAAAAGGGCACAGTGTTTCTTACTGATATGATGAAAGCATTCTAAAATTGGTTTGCAGTGATTATTGAACAACTCTGTACTTGTACAAAAAAAAATCATTGACTTATACGCTTTAAAATGAGCAAATTTTATGAAATGTCATACTTAAATAAAGATGTTAAAAGAAGTAGTTGGGTGAGATGGCACATGCCTGTAATCCCAGTGGCTCAGGAGGCTGCTGAGTCAAGAGGATCACAAATTCAAAGCCAGTCTCAGCAATTTAGGGAGACCCTAAGCAACTTAGGGAGACCCTGTCTCAAAATAAAAAATGGTTGGGGAGGTGGTGCCACAGTCTGGCTGGGCACAGCCACTTGTCAAAAGAAACTAACTTTATTTTTAGAACTACAAACGCCAAACAAAACAGCTCCTCAGGAAAAAACCCTCAGAGCCCAACTGCCACCACACGCTTCCCACAAGCCTGTCACCCCCCACACCAGCCTCTCCACCTCCCACAATCCTCCTGCTCTTGAGGCCGATTAGCTGGGTTGCATGGGCAGAGCCAAAGAAGTCTCCCAATGAGCAACTCCGCAGAGGAGCCAATCAGCTAGATGTTGCTGGCAACGCTGTGAGCCAATCATCAGCTGGCAGCTGGAAGTTTGCTGGTAGCTGGAAGTTTGCTGGGGCCCCTTTGGCTGTGGCTCTCAACAAGGTGGCTCAGTGTTTATGTGCTCCTGGGTTCAATCCCCTAGTACCAAAACAAAACAAAACAAAACAACAACAATAAAAGATTTAAAAAGAAAAAGAAAACGATTGATAAAGACTAGTATAATACTGGACTAGTATATATCAGAAATAACCTCGAGGAGTTTTCTAGACAACAGTCTCTCCACACAAAAAACTTTTTTTCTTTTCTTTTTTTTTCTTGCAGTGCTAGGAACTATACCTGGGCTCTCAGGCATGCTAGACAAGTACTCTATCATTGAGCCACATCTCTAGCCACATATAAAAAAATTTTAAGTCAGTACATCATTTGACCTAGCTTCATTTCTTTCTTTTTTTTTTTTTTAAACACCCTCACTTCCAAAAATTTATACAAAACTGGGGATTGAACCCAGGGCTTCACACATAAGAGGCAAACACTCTACCACTGAACTACACTGCCCCCTACTAATTTACTAAGGAAATAGTTAATTGGGCATAGATATTTGTGCAAAGATATTTCCTGCAGAATTTATTGAATTTATAGAATTTATTGAATATTTGTCAAGAAACATTTGTAAACAATTCAAAGGTCCTGGATTAGGAATTTGGTTAAATAAATATGGAAGAGCTATGTAAGGCAAATTTCCATGTGTTGAAATAGAAAGATGTTTATCGGGCTGGGGTTGTAGCTCAGTGATACAGCGCTTGCCTAGAATGTGTGAGGCACTGGGTTTGATTCTCAGCACCACATATAAATAAAAAGGAAAAGAAAGGTCCACCGACAACTTAAAAAAATTTAAAAAAAAAGATGTTTATAATATGTATTTTTGTTATAAAGGAAATGTAGATAGAATAGATTATAATGAGCCCTAGTACATTCACTACCTAGTTTAAAAATCACCAATTTCCAGGACTTGGTAGTACATGCTCCCCCGTAATCCCAGTGATTTGGGAGTCTGAGGCAGCAAGATTGCAAGTTCAAAGCCAGCCTCAGGTTGGGGATTTAGCTCAGTGGCAGAGCTCTTGTCTAGCATGCAAAAGGCCCTGAGCTTGGTCCTCAGGCCTGGGGGGGAAAAAAAAAAAGCCAGCCTCAGCCTCAGAGTGAGGCTCTAAGCAACTACAGAGACCATGTCTCAAAATATACAAAGGACTGGGGATGTAGGTTAGAGGTAAAGAATCTCTTGACTCAATTCCCAGTACCAAGTAAATTAATTAATTAACTAAAATAGAAAATAAAAAGGGCTGGGGATATAGTTTAGTTGTAAAGTGCCCCTGGGTTCAAACCCCACTATCACAAAACAAAAAACAAACAAAATAATCAATTGCTTGTTCATGGGCATTCTTGTTTCATTTATACCTTCATTCACTTCTTGTATTATATTGAAGCAAATCTCAGACATCATTATCATTTCCTCTGTACACATAATCACAATAGTATTATTGCACTTAAAAAATAAATCCTTGGGCTGGGGATGTGGCTCAAGAGGTAGCGAGCTCGCCTGGCATGCATGCGGCCCAGGTTCGATCCTCAGCACCACATACCAACAAAGATGTTGTGTCCGCTGAGAACTGAAAAATAAATATTAAAAATAAATAAATAAATAAATAAATAAATCCTTGATCAGCTACTTGGGAGGCTTAGGCATTAGGATTACAAGTTGGAGGCCAGTCTGAGACATTCAGCAAGACCCTGTCTCAAAATAAAATTTAAGGGTTGGGTTGTGGCTTAGTGGTAGAGTACTCAGTGTAAGGCACAGGGTTCTATCCTCAACACCACATAAAAAATAAATAAAATGAAGTCATTGTGATCATCTATAATTAAAGAAAAATATTTAAAATAAAAATAAAACAAATAAAATTTAAGAAGGCTGGGGCTGGGCATGGTGGCACACATCTGTAATCCCAGTAATTTGAGAGGCTGAGGTAGGAGGATTGTAAATTCGAGGCCAGCCTCGGCAACTTAGCTAGGCCCTGAGCAACTTAGTGAGACCCTGTCTTAAAATAAAACATAAAAAGGGCTGGTGATGTGGCTCAATGATTAAGTGCTCCTGGGTTCAATCCTTGGTACCAAAGGAAAATAAAAAAAAAAGGCCGGGGTGCTGAGGATGAAGGTCACTTATAGAGTGCTTGTACACCACCCTGAGTTCAATCCCTAGTACCACAAAAAGAGAAAAAAATCCATACTATTCTCAAAGATCTAGTCAGTGTTCAAATTTCCAATTATTTCTACAATTTGATGTTTAATAGTTTGTTTGAATTAGAGTACAAATAGGGGCCATAAATTATGATTGATATGCTTCTTAAATATCTTTTTTTTTTTTTTTTTGCAGGGCTGAGAATTGAACCCAAGGCTTTGTGCATGCTAGGTAAGTGCTCTATCACTGAGCTACATCCCCAACTGCCTCCTCCTTTCTTAAAAATGTTGAGACAGGGTCTTGCTAAATTGCTCAAACTTGAGATCTTCCTGTCTCAGCCTCCAAGTAGCTGGGATTATAGGTGTGTGCCACATTTGGTTTTAAGTGATTTTTGCTTTTGTTTTAAACTAGGAATTGAAAGCAGGGGCATTTTACCATTAAGCCACATCCTCAGCCCCCACTCCCACCCTTTTTAAATTTTGAGACAGAGTCTCACTAAATTGTTTAGGGCCTTGCTAAATTGCTGAGGCTGGCCTCAAACTTGTGATCCTTCTGACTCAGTCTCCTGAGTTGCTGGGATTATAGGCATGCACCATTGTGCTCAGCTCACTTAGCATGTTTTAAAGGTTCACCTATGTTATGTAGTACATGTACTTCATTTTTTTTTAGAGCTGAATAACAGTCCATTTCATATACCAAGAGTCATCTCTTGGTATATGGGGTATTGGTTCCAGGACTCCCACAGATAACAAAATCCACAGGTCCATTTTATAAAATGCTCAGGTCTCTTATATAAAATGGCACAGTATGTGCATATAATGTACATGTATCTTCCTACATACTTTAAATCATGTCTAGATTACTTATAATAACAATGTAAATTATTATTATATTCTATTGTTTAGAGAATAATAACAAGAAAAAAGTCTATACATGTTCACTGCAGTGCAACCTTCCCTACCTGAATATTTTTTTTTTTTTTTTTAAAGAGAGAGTGAGAGGAGAGGAGGGAGAGAGAGAGAGAATTTCCAACATTTTTTATTTCTTAGTTCTCGGCGGACACAACATCTTTGTTGGTATGTGGTGCTGGGGATCGAACCCGGGCCGCACGCATGCCAGGCGAGCGCGCTACCGCTTGAGCCACATCCCCAGCCCCTGAATATTTTTTTTAATATTTATTTTTTTTTAGTTTTTTGGCGGACACAACATCTTTGTTTGTATGTGGTACTGAGGATCGAACCCAGGCTGCACAAGAAGACTACACAACATTTTGTTTGCCATTCATCAGTTGGTGAATGTTTGTGTTGTTTCCACTTTTTGGCTATTGTGAATAACACTGCTGTGAATATTTGTATACAAGTTTATGTGTAGATTCTTTTTTTTTCACCCCAGCCTTGTGTGGATTCTTAAATATCTTTTGATTTCTAGGTTTCCTCCCTGTGTATGTATGTGGGATACTGACTTTTAACTTATTTGCTGAAGAAACTGTGTTGTCATATAGTTTCTCACAATTTGGATTTTGCTTCTTGTATTTCCAAGGTACAGTTTGTGTGTGTGTGTGTGTGTGTGTGTGTGTGTGTGTGTGTGTGTTTGTTTCTGGGGATTGAACTCAGGGTCTCAAGCAAGGTAGGCAAGTGCTTTATCACTGAGCTAAACTACCAGCCCAGGGGTGTGTGTGTGTGTGTGTGTGTGTGTGTGTGTGTGTGTATGTGTGATTATAAAGAAGTGAAATGGAGTAGGTCTTTGTGGTAATGGACTAGTTCTGCTTTTTTTTTTTTTTTTGTACCAGGTGTGCTTAACCCCTGAGCCACATCTCTAGCTCTTTTTAAATTTGTTTATTTATTTATTTTTGAGGCAAGGTCTTGGTAAATAGCTTAGGGCCTTACTATCTGGTTCTACTGAAGCTGGTTTTGACCTTGCTGTCTCATGCTTCAGACTGTGGTTGCTGGGATTACTTACAGACTGTGGTTGCCTAGTTCTACATATTGATTATGGTGGTGGTTACAGGAATATGCACATGTGACAAAATGATGTAAAACTATATATACACATTGGTCAAACACCAATTTCCTGATTTTGATATTGTTCTATAATTATGTAAGAGGTAATCACTAGGAGAAAATGGAGGAAGAGAACACTGAAACTCTGTACTATTTTTGCTACTTCCAATGAACCTATAAATAGAACTCCCAAAAAAGTTTTAGAAGTACTTTTACAGGGTTCGGGTTATAGCTCAGTGATAGAGCGCTTGCCTAGCACATGTGAGGCACCACATAAAAATCCTCAGCACCACATAAAAATAAAATAAATAAGACATTGTGTCCATCTAGGCTAAAAAATTTTTTGCTTGCTTCGCACATGTGAGGCACTGGGTTCAATTCTCAGCACCATATAAAAATAAGTAAACAAAATAAAGATATTGTGCCCATCTATAACTAAAATTAAAAAATATTTTAAAAAGTACACTTACAGAATTTTAGATATGGTCTGATTCCACTGTGTTAAAAATTTTCAATGACTGTTATTATTATCACATTTTACATTTGAGAAAACATATGAGGGGCTGGAGATGTGGCTCAAGCGGTAGCGAGATCGCCTAGCATGTGTGCGGCCCGGGTTCGATTCTCAGCACCACATACCAACAAAGATGTTGTGTCCACCAGAGAACTGGAAAATAAATATTAAAAAAATTCTCTCTCTCTCTCCCCGCCCCTCCTTAAAAAAAAAAAAAAACATATGAAATGTTAGGGTTTGACTGTCAGATGTAACCTATGTTCTTAATGGTTGCGACATACAGAGTGTGTGTGTGTGTATAAAGCAAAATCAGACAGAGAGTTTAATTTTTCAGTTTTATAGATCTCTATTGTTTGAATAGTTTACAACAAACTTATGTTACTCTTTTTTCATTGGGGGGGGGGGAGTAGAAAAAGGTTAAAGTTAGTGAGTGAGGCATCCTCTCCTTAGTGTCCTAATGGTGGATCCGAGCAACGCTATATTAGTCACATTATTTCGAAAGTTCAAAGCTCCGCACAGTGCGCTGCAGCCTTTATTAGGAGGTCTCCTTTTCCCTACCCCATTTTGTGTTTCTTAAGTCATAACTGACTACTTTGGAACTTCTCTCAAATTCCGCGTGGATCCTAGATTGCATGTGGGGCTGGCTGCAGAGGAAGGATACTGTGGCGGTTGGTCCCAGTCCTACATCGCAGAAGGGCAGCAGCAGGCGCGACGACGGCGACACCAGGGACTGGACGCAGTTAAAATATTTTGGGGCGGGTCCTGGCGGTACACGCAGCTTTCCCACACGCGACTTAGCTTCTTAAAATCAGCCCCCACCCCCGCCTGCCCCCGCCTTTCAGGTCCTGCGCCTGTTTCCCATTGGCTAGTTTCTATTGCAACAGGGACTTTTTTTTTTTTTTTTAAAGGAATGCGTCTAGGACATCGGTAAAAATAGTCGTTTAAAAAGCGATAAGGTTCACGCAGAGCTGTCGCTGCCAAATTACAATTCTTTTCAAGGAGCAGTGCTGAGGTTACAAGGTCGTGGGCTCAGAGCAGTAACCCTTGTTTGCCTTCTCTTTTAAACAAGGTCGACTTCAGCCACAAGTTCAACTTCCTTCATGTAAATTAACGCCGAATCAGCAATTCCCACCATCTGCATTAGGCACAATTCGCCCGAAGCCATTAGTGTACTTTCACGTGAAATGGAAGGAAGGTGGCAGGAAGGCTCTTGAAATCAATGGAATGATTTAGAGAATTCTGTGTAATATAGTTTCTTTTCTAATTTGATGTTGTTGTTGTTCACAAAAGCAAATCATGTTTATTATCTGAAATTAATTTAGCAGAATGTTAAAAGAAGTGAAAGACTCTTCCCTTTCTCCACATAATCTCACAGGCTAATGTAACTAACCACTGTTAAAAATTGGGTATTCATTTGCCTAGCCCTTTTTCTATGCACATTCTAACACACATTCAAACTTTTTTTTTTTCTCCCTCCTATGAGATAAACTCTGGCTATATTGCCCAGACTGTTCAGAACTGATGGGCTCAGGTAATCCTCATGCCTCAACCTCCTGAATAGCTGGAATTATAAGTGCACACTACTACACCTGCTCCAATGTTTTTGCTATTACATATTTCCAGATTTTAAATTTTATTTTTAAATTTTTTTAGTTGTAGATGGGCACAATACCTTTATTTTTTTAAATTTATTTTTATGTGGTGCTTCAAACATGGGAGGCAAGCACTCTACCGCTAAGCCACAAATCCCAACCCCTAAACTTTATTTTTCTTCTTTGTATATACAGGAGTAACACATGCTCAATGTAAAACATTTAAGATTTCAGAAATGTATGGCTTAGAAAGCAAAAGTTCTTCATAATTCCTTCTCTGATAACTACCAAATACAGATGTTCCTCTATGCATATACCACATATATAATCTGTTATTGTGTAGCTCTATACATTATTGGTAACACAAATGTGGTTATATTACACGTTTTGTTTTCTACTGAAGTCAATGCAAAACATTACATAGTTCTTGATATATCATATTTCACACTTTGATTCAAGTGGGTTATGAACTCCCATTTTTACCCCGTATACAGATTGCAGAATCACATCAGTTACACTTCCATTGATTTACATATTGACATACTCATGTCTGTTGTATTCTGCTGCCTTTGAATTCCAGGTCTTTATCTTCCTAGCAGCAAAGAGGCTAAGCCTTTTAACCTATGGAATACAAGAACCACCAACTCTTCAGAAACAGGGAATTTATTTGGCTGCCTCACTGTTAAGAACCTCCTCTTGCCCAGGGCAACTTCCCTATCTAACTCCTCAAAGATCCCAAACTCTTTGGAACACTAAGTTTGTTTCTGCTCTTATCTTTTTTTTTTTTTAAAGAGAGAGTGAGAGGGGGGGGGAGAGAGAGAGAGTGAGGGAGAGAGAGAGAGAATTTTTTAATATTTATTTCTTAGTTCTCGGCGGACACAACATTTTTGTTGGGAAGGTGGTGCTGAGGATCGAACCCGGGCCGCACGCATGCCAGATGAGCGCGCTACTGCCTGAGCCACATTCCCAGCCCTCTGCTCTTATCTTTACAAATTACTCTCTGACACATGATAAATACACGACTTGTCCACATTATTATGTAAGCTGCTTTTATAGTTAGGTAAATTAGGTTCACAACTAACAACAGGAGCCTTAGAAACGGAGATGCTGATTTTTAAGTTGTTT